GTACGTGGTGGAGATCAAGCGGCCCTTTGGCGTGACCATGTACCGGCTGCGGAGCGGAGCTGGAGTGGTGGAGGGTATGCATCAGGCCAGCAGGCTATCTAAGGCGCCACCCAGCCTGGCCAGCGAGCTGACCTTCAGCGGCACGGCGCAGCGAGGAGTGCCTGTGGTGTCTCTCAATGTGGCGATGGCGGCGCAGCCCGGCGGCGGCAAGGCAGCCGTGCGCTGCGGCTGCCGCGGCGCCTGCACCCGGAACTGCAGCTGCAAGAAGAATGGTGCGCGGTGTGGGCGGCACTGTGGCTGTATAACCGGTAAGGGTGGCAATTGCACGAACCATTGAAGAAGTGTGCCTTGTACGCTTTGCCGTCTCCGCTGGAAGGTGCTGCCGCCTGTGGCGGCTTCATATTTCCTGTTCATTTCTGTTGTTCGGTCTCTCTGTTCGTGTTGGTTGGCTTGTAAGAGTTGTATTTCTGACGCTAGAGAGGTGAGATGACAGCGGGAGCGTTGAAGCGTGCATGCCATCACGTGTGCAAGCAGCCCCGCTCCGCCCCGCTCAACCCTCAAACATGGCTCTATGGGGTCAGTTCACGTATGGGAGGGGAGCGCCGCGCGGGCTGCCAGGAGCGAGCGGGGGCGGGGGTTGCCCAATCGGGAGGGTGCCACATCAGGGGGCAACATGTGCGCAGCTGCCGCGCCGCGTTTCCGGCGGCGCTCGACCCGCGGCTGCTCGCTCCCGCAGCCCGGCGTGTCAAGCGCCCAGCAGCAGCCGGCCAAATGCGCCACCCATCGGCGCCCCACCTTGCTCACTCCCGCGGCTTGGAACAGCATCCACATGACCGCCCACAGGGAGTCGTAGCGCAGCAGCTGCAGGTTGCGGCGGTGGGAGAATGCCTGCAGGCGGCGGCGGCGGCGGCGGCGGGGCACACAAGCGTGTGAGGGCAACCAGAGCAGTGGCTCCCGGGCTCGGCGGGAGAGGCGCCAGGGATGAACCAGGAATGGAAGAGGGGGCAGAAGGGTGAGGCACTCGAGCAGTGCCGGCGGGGCCGCAGCCGGGCGGCGGCGGCTGCTGCCCAACAGCGAACCACGCAGCGACCCAACGCGGCGCGTCCGCCGCGTGTTCCACGCCTCACAAACAACCCTGAGGTGCTGGGGGGGCCATCTGCTGCCCAAGCACATGCCAGGGCGCCGCGCGTTGGAGAGACTGCCGTGTTCGCCGGCCAGATTTGCATTGACATTCACCTACAGCGCTATACAGCACGCCCCAACACCTCACCTCTTCCGCGCTGTGCGGCCGAAACGACAGCAGCCCCATCCTGCCGCCTCAGCCTCTCTGGTCGAGCTGAGATCGTGCTGGGAGATATAGGCATGCAACTAAAGTCAATAACGCGAGGAAGGAGAGTTCACGGAGAGCCACTTGCCTCCAGGGCAAATGCGAACGCTGGGGATTCTTGCATCCTGCTCAACAACGCGCTGCAAGCCTGCCGGAGCGAACAGGGGATGGGATCGCACGAGCCTGGATGCTTCGCCTAAGCGGTGGGAGCGAGAGCTCAGCCTACCGGCAGGAGCGGTAGCCGCCGCGCGGCCCAGCCCCAACGATGGCTATGCCCCCTCAAATCCATCCCAATCGCAGCTTACAAGCGAAAAAGGCAACCAGGTCGCATTACAGGAAGAAGCAAACACCAAAGCAAATTCTTGGGGCGCCCGCGCCGCCCCGCCTGGCAGCAGGCTCCGTCTGCCGCGACGGCCTGGCCCAGGGCCTGCCGCCGCTCCTGCTGGCACCAAGCTGCCGCACTGGCAGCGCCGCGACGGCAAGGCCTGCCCACCCAAGCGGGTGGCCACAGGGCCCGCCCCTCACTCTCTCACCATCACACCTGTCTCATTGTCGATGGTGGCGCCGGCGCCTGCAGGGGCGGCGGCAGATCAGGACCAGAGAGTCGGCTGCCGCAGCGCAGCACGCGGGCCTTGCATCACGCAGGCAGGCAGGGTATGCGCCCCGCCCGCCAGCTGGCCGCCAGGCAGCTGCGCGCAGCCGGCAGCTGCCAAACCGCCGACCCAGGCACGCGGCTCCTTGCTCCCCGGCCTGCCCCTCCCCAGGCCCCCGCTGCCCTTGCTGCCCTTGCAGCCCTGGCTGCTCCCAGGCCCAGCCCTTGTTGGTCCCAGCCCCAGCCCTTGCGGCTCCCCAGCCCCAGCTCCTAAGCCCCACCTGGTGCATCTGAGGGCACGCCCGGCGGCAGGAAGGAGAAGGCATCAGACACGTTTGTGTCGCCCGTGGTGAGCAGGTGGTCGGCGGCGCCGGCGCCGGCGCCGCCCGCGCTGCCCGTGCCGCCCGCCCTGCCCGTGCCGCCCGCCTCCCCGGCTCGCCCCCTGCGCCGCAGGAGGTCACCCACCTCCTTCCACACCAGCCCCGTCAGCAGCAGGCCTGCGGGGGGCGGAGACGGGAGAGAGCGGGAGACAGTTAGGCAGCAGAGGGGGGTGCGGGCAGGGCAGACGCCAAGGCGGCGCCACCAGGCTGCGCGAGGCACAGCCTGCTGTTGGCTGTGTGACCAGCCCTGCCATGATATGCGACGGAGACAAAGCAAAGCGGTGCAAGCCATCCACACACACACACACACACCATACACACACACAAATACACAACACACACACACACACAGCACACAGCACACACCCAACACACCTGCCGCCGCGGCCGCGCTGTACAGCATGTAAAACACATTGTCGAAGCCGCCGGGCAGCTCTGCAGTGCAGGGGGCAGGGAGGGGCGCCGGGGCGGCCCTTTCCTGATGAGCCACGGGTGAGCCACGCTCGGCGCCAGCCCCCACACACCGCAGAATGCAGCGCCGCAGCCGCCGCTGCCGAGGCTGGCACCGGGGCCGCCGCCGCCCAATACACCCGAGATGCAAGCCAGGTTTTGAAGGGTTTCCCCTAGGGGTGGCGGCAGCGGCACTGCATGGACCTCATAAAACAAAAAAAACTGGCACCCCGCCCGCCCACCCGAGATGTATCCAGTGAGCATGGGGCCGATGG